TTACTTTACTTTACTTTACTTTACTTTACTTTACTTTTACTTTTCTTTTCTTTGAAGCATCTCTTCCTTCGAACAGGAAGTTTGCTTTGTTCGAGGACTTTTACGCGAGCTCTTCATCGTATGCACCGACACTGACACACACGGACAAGTGTGCGCCTGTCTGTCTGAGCTACACATGTACATGCGACCTGGTGTGTGAATAAGACGTCAGCGATTGAAAGAGGCCGGCGATCGGGACTTGTGTGAAAAGAGCATTCCAGCAAAGACTGTACGACACATGTTTTCGCCATGCCTCCGAGTTGGGCATAAAAAGAGACCCAACCTTAAAGTGATGCCCACATTTTGGGCATCATCCACTTGCCCTCAGTAGGTTGGGGTGGGGCGCAACAGGAGCGGATGGAATAGAGCTGGAAGAACTGCATCAATCCGATTGTCGATAACCCATCACGACCTCAACAGGTCCCTAGGATGCACTTGGTTGCTAAGCCTGGCCATCTCAGTTCATTTGTATTCCCCTCTCTCTCTCTCTCTCTCTCTCTTGCCTCGACTCTCTTTCAGTTCAACCTTCTCTCACTCTGTCCTCGCAATCACTTATCCACCATTCCATCTATTCCGTCTGTCTGCATCTCTATCAACACACCACTCATTCACCTACTCAACCAATCAATCATTCAATCTGACCATCCACTTATCGGCTAATTCCTGTAAATGCATTGCGCAAACATATTTTCCCGTTCCTTCTCTCTTGTCTCTACAACTCGTCCACTTTGTCCCACTATTTCTCCGTTAAAATGTCTATTCGTCCATTACTTCGATGATCATTCAGAGTCTTTGATCACTTCAGCGTTGTCCACTTCTCTTTGCTGCTTCAGTTGGCCGCCGGCGGGACAAGAAGTCTGGAGAAAGTTTGAAGAGGGCTCGGAGAGTGGATGACACATGGTACGATCTAAGGAAAAAATTGTCTTGTAGAAGGAGCGATATTTGCGCGATATTAGTCTATTTTGAGAATAGCAGCAGAAATTATGTAAAAACTTAGCCAGCCCAGATTGCTTAAAGTGACTTGAAAACGGATAGTTGAGCTAATCTCTCTATTCTGCGCAAGTTACTAATTGTGATATAAGTAGTCTTTGAGGATATCAATAATTATTGAGTAAGAAATTGGCTTGAATATGATTGTCAGAATGTTATCCTGTTCTGATGATGTACATCATAGGACACACGTAAGTTTGGCCCATTTTCGCCGAAATCGAAAGTGATAGCCTCGAAAGCAGTCTCGACAAGAATCTTTCGGTAGGTTGCCCTCGTTTTCACAACTTGTTCTTGTCGTCAAGGCGACTTAGTCGGATGCATTTTGTCCAAAGTCCTCTACCATAATAGTTGTCATACTTTCCAACTTCAGACCGTAAACTTGATGCATTCCCAGACGTTTCGCCGGCATCGTCAGTGAGCATTGCAATGCTCAGCATCACTTTCGGGAACACAAAGTTCTGGTTTGTGATGTCACAACAATTTGGGCAGAAAGTTGGTCATTACGTGTCTCTTGGATGTCTTGGAATGTGCCGAGTCGACGGTCTGGCAGTGGGAATTATGATCACTATTGTAGCATCGGACTTCGGACAAAGTGCGTCCAACTCAGTCGCCCTGACAACAAGAGCAAGTCGCGAAAACTAGATTAACTCACATCTTTACATCAAAAGGAGACTGAGACCATCTTAGTCATCATAGTTTCAAGGCTCCAGTGAATTGTGACAAGACTTTCTTCCATTTCTGAGGAGAAAAGTTGTTTGGTAGGAATTCGTGAAATTGTATCAACACAAATCGTAGGAATTTCAAGCTGATAACAAAGCGAAGACAGCAGCCTGACGATGCAACACAAGAAGACGGACAAACTGGATTGTTCGGTAGTCTATAGCATCAAATGGGCTGAAAGCTACGAAGTAGTGGAACATGAAATCGAGTGGAAAGCTTCAGCACGGTTGGCTGCATATGATGGAAATACAAGAAAGAAATGGATTGACCGAAAGAAACCGAATGACAGGATCAAATAAAACTGTGCATGTTGACTAAGCAAACTCGGTTGTATGAATTGTATTCATTCTATTTCGTTTAAGGTGATACAAGACTCACAATCATGATGTGAGTCAAGCCGAAGTTTCCATTCACTTTCACATAAACTTGCTGTGCCAAAAGTTGTTCTTACTGTTGCACTGTCACGGTTCGACTCCCGCGGTTCGGTGTTGATAAGACCAATGCCCGGTGGCCCTGTATGAGAATAACTTTTGGGAAAGTTTGGCCATGTGAAATTGAATGTGAACTTGATTGTGTGAAAATTCTACTGCCAGTCATTCATCACCTTAAACGAAATAGCAGGAATTCATAGCTTTGAAACTCTACTCACACACGAACTATGAATAAAAGCACGATAGACGTATTTGGTCCATGAAGCAGAGGATTGACCATCACAATTGCTCGGGGACTTTGGCCTCAAGTTAGTCTGCCGGAGGCAGAGTGTGAAAAATAACGTGTCGTGTAGACCAGATGGGGCGGCAGTGATCGTTGTTTATCTAAACCTATTTAAAATCTATTCACATTACCCGCTGGTCTCCTCATCCTTCCGACTGTACCA